TCTTAACAGAAATGTTAATCTAAAATTAATTTAATAATAAATGACTCACATTGTCATCCGTGTCGTCGTTCATATCTATCGATGGTCTGATCTCCTCTTGCAATTTTGGTTTGGTCTCAAACTCCTTCAGAGTATTTTGATCCTCGCGAGTATCGTTAGGACATTCGTTCATACCGAAGTAAAATGTTTTCGGTGCAATCTGCGTCCCCGCAGCGAATCTAAATCGAAGGAACAATTTGATGATTGAACGCAAGCATGATTGATATTAAATTAAGAACAAAACTTACTGCTGATCCTGTTCTCGTGCGTCACGATCATCCGTAACAGAGTTCCTTATCTCAGACTTCTCTGTTATCGCATTATCAGTCCATTTTCGATCGACCTTCGGATTACGCGCAGTAGCGTTTATCCGATGATCCTCCAGTCTTCCGGATTCCGAATTCTTCTTCTCTCTATGTTTATCGTTCGATACAGGACTGTTACAATTTCTAGCAACGTTCGTATCCTTCGAACGATTCTTCGGTGCCTCGTAACTCTGTTGACGCAGCTTCGCGTCGCGATCGTTGCTCCCATCCACTTCTCGATTCCCAGAGCTGTCGAGGTGGCCGTGAAACGACGTTGTCCTAACGCGTTCTTTAAAATCGCGTCTATCTTCAGTCTCGTATAGCCGATCCTTACGATTTCCCATCGACTCTTCCCCTGCGATCGCCCTCCCGCTGGAATTCAGTTTATCCCGAACCTTCCTAGCCACCTGTATCAACTCCGCCTGAAACTCCGGACTGCTCATGCTCCTCTGAAGCGTGTTTTTTCCTTCATCGGAGAGTCTCGAGCGACGGAGATGCTCGTCGACGTCCGATCGGCGAACGCGATCGTCGATGCTCGTCTCGTTGTCGGAATGCTGAACCGCCCGGGAACGAATCGCGCCGTTCCATCGATTCGGAGGCTCGATCGTCGATCGGTCCCGATCGAAACCGGACGAGGATGAAAGCTGCCAGCTGATCTGAGTCTTCCTTGACTCGGCGCGGGTCTTGAACAGCCGGGATCTTCTTGGAGGCGCTTGGACCTGATGCTGTTCTAATCGAGCGTTGCTGTTATGGGAATGAGGACGGGGATGGGAGTCGAGGTCACGCGAGCAACGAGATTCACCGCCGGCCGTGGATTCCTCCGCCAGCTCGCCGGAGCTGATCGCCGGTGGCGGCGCGGGTGCTTTGTACTTTTTCTTAGCCTTGTATCTGCTCTCGAACCGCTCCTTCGGTTCCCTGGCGTAGCGATTGGAGCTCGACGGGGTGCGAGTCTCGTCTCTGTTGATCGAGCTCGGTGAACAGCAGAGGTCGGGAGTGCATCGTAAGTCGGGCTCGCTGCCGAACTTCTTCAGGTTCGCCTCTCGGCTTGGGTCACTGCGATAACGGCAGCAGTGGCGATCGAGCCGCCTCGAACGGGGTTCGATCAAGTTCGAAGCGGATCCTGTCCTTTCTCGAAACGGAGGCTCGTAACGCTGCAACGGCACAAACCCATCCGTCATACTTTTTCGGGTCACCTGCTAAAACCTGATACTGGCTGTTCCATAGGAAGTTGCTGAAAGTAAACTAATGTCTGCCCCCGTTTTTGCATACGCGCAGCCCGCGGGGCAGTCACTGTCGACCCGAAGCAATGTTAACTTAAGGATGTATTGGCTATCCAGTCAATCCCAAAAGTTTGTGCACTTTAGAAACGCATTTTTTTAAAAGAAATCAAACGTCGGAAGAACATTGGTAATAATAAACAACAAAAAAAAATTTTCGATTTTTCCGAGATTTTCCCAAGGGGTACCCC